TGCCCTTCTCTGGACTCGCTCCAGCACCTCAACGTCTTTTTTGTAGTGAGGGGCCCAAAACTGAACACAGTGTTCAAGGTGCGGCCTCACCAGCGTCCAGTACAGGGGGACGATCACCTCCCTAGTCCTGCTGGCCACACCATTGCTGATACAGGCCAGGATGCTGTTGGCCTTCTTGGCCACCTGGGCACACTGCTGGCTCATGTTCAGCCGGCTGTCGACCAACACCCCCAGGTCCTTCTCCACCAGGCAGCTTTCCCAGCCAATCGTCCAAAGTCTGTAGCGTTGCATGGGGTTGTTGTGACCCAAGTGCAGGACCCGGCACTTGGCCTTGTTGAACCTCATACAACTGGCCTCGGCCCATTGATTTGTTCTCAAGGAAATATTTAGTCTACACTATTAGGCGAGGATCACCAGCAAAACTGTTAAGACTTTTAACTCACCACAGTTATTTTATCAGTTGTAAACTGCACTGAACTTCAGCAATCTCTGATAGTTTGGAATTTACATAAGTTCAAAATTTAGTGCGGCATTACTCTTAAAATACCTGGAACATGTTTAAGAATAAGAAGCTCAGCTGCTTCAGAAATGAGCAAATGGCATTACAAAGAGATTTCTGCCTCCCCCAGCTTACAAACAGCACGATGGCATTGGCATTATTGGTAAAGCCGTCTAACTTCACATTCAGAACCCAGAATCCAGATCAGCTGCTGACTGGGTTTTTTTTAAAGTTATCTTAGATCAAAAAATTAAAATAAGTAAGAACCGTTGTTATTTAAAATCCTTCACTTTTCAGACTTGATGGAGGAGGAACACATTTGTAGACACTTTCACATGTTTCATTACAGAATTCTACTCAGTTCATTACCAAATTACTGTTACAATTGCTTGTGACTTAGTCTTTTACAGAAGTTTCTCTAATTTTTTGTTTTCTTTAAATGAGTAAAGACCTTAACAATGTGGTGATCTACTAGTGAAGCACCAAATCACATGTCAGGAAACAGAAATAATGAGTGACACTCATGCTAAAACTTTCGTTAAATCAAATCTTAGCATGTTGTTGAAACAGCACCAGAATGTAAACCTTCTTCCAGTAATACCAAGCAAGTTTTATAATCTGATTAATGCGAAAGCCTCCAAAAGCTCATACTCCTATCACATCAAGATTAAAGGCTTCAGAGAATAGCAGCTATTAAAGGAAACTGAGAAGGTAAAGACGAAACGCTTCAGTAGCATCCTCAGCAGAAGGCACTGCATTTAAAATTACCCCTTCAGTGATAACTTTATCAGTATTCATTTAACAGATAACTTCTTCCTCCGCAACTGTTATCTCTAAAATAGAACTGATTCAGGCTGCGCAAATTGATGAGGAAATATCTAATGTTCAGCGTAAGGACAGCCAAATGTATCTATATGGACTTCAGTATTCAGCTCTGTAGAAGTCAGGGCCCAGCTCATGGGTTGACTATGCCTCTCTTGCAGAGGAAGAAAC